CTAGTGGGGGATAGAATACAATTTGTGAAATGTGACTTTACTCCAATGACCTGGATACATACGCTTTATTCCACATGACGAGAACATCAGTTAGGTTTTATATTTGGCTACTCCTGCTAGAAGCCGGAGGTCAGTGACTTAATGAAAACAGCTCATTTTACTCACGTCAATAACAGGTAGGACAGTCCAGGGCTTATGCAGCTGCTGCTGAACGCAAGCTCTCCTCCTCTCTTCTCTTCCTTTTTGGTATAATTGCTATTGTTCTCAGGGCTGCAAGAGAGCTGCTGTACCCCGAGAGGGGTAGAAGGGTGAGATACAAGGGTCAACAGAGAAGTGCCAAGCAAGCACCTGCATCCAGAGTTTTCTAAACTACCACCCTGTTTGCCACTGCCTTTTTATTAGCCAGAGCGGAGTCACATGACCTTTCCTGATCAAGGGCACCTGGGAAAGTAACTTTACCTGAGAACATTTAGCTGACTCTTCTGATTAGAAAGAAAGGGAGAAAGGACACTAAGAAGGCAACTCGCACCTCCCACCACCAGTGATAAAATTTGGATCCTTCCTTCTTTGGTCTTAATTGTCAACAACTGCAAGAAAAAAATCCACAGGAAAAAAAGACAAACATAATTACAAAATATAAACATAAATATGAGCACAATGTCACAACAGATTGCTATCCTTTGCAAATTTATCCTGTTTAGCTCAGACTTTCCACATCATCAAAATCACTATGTATTTATTAGCATAGAATTATGGTTGCATTTCTACCACTTTGGACAGAGCTGTGCACATGGTGGGGATTGTGTGTGTGTGTGTGTGTGTGTGTGTGTGTGTGTGTGTGTATGTGTGGTGTAAATAAAGGAATGTATTGGTATACAATACAGCACTGTACTGTGTAATGACATCATAAGCTGTATCATGTATCTTGCTGGCATATATGGGGGGCCCCTGCAGTAGTGGCTGGGGGTTGGGTTTTAGTCTTTGCTTTGCTGTGCCTTTGTCTTGGATATGCCACTGCCACGTGAATAGCTTTCTGATGATCTGATTTCTATAAACATAGATTTTAAAGGAAATTTAGAGCTAGCCCCATTATGATTAACCATTAAAGTGCAGTGACCCCATCTTTTATTAAAAAATTATTGCTCTGTGTTCTACCTATCTCATGCAGAAAAGAAGTCTCACTTTCTATAATTATGGCTTTTAAATTTCCTACATATGAAATAATAGTATTGAATATGATTCCAATCTATAGACACATTAAACATAAGAATGTCATATCCCCAATGACACTTCCCTAAAACACTCAATAATCTCTTTTCCATCCCCTACCCTAGGTGTAGGTGTGCACCATTCTTCCCTGTCCTTGAGGAAGGGTCTTCTTTTTGCCAAACTATATTCTCAAATATAGTTTGAGAATTACATCACAAAATTAAAGAAGAGAGACCAATGTAAATGCTAGATGGTTCTGCTCCTCCCCGATGCCAATGCTCACAGTGCCTGAACACACTTTGAGCAGCAAGGTGCTGGTTTTAAAATTTGGTTGCATGTTGGAATCCTGGGGGAGTTTTTATAAATGCTGATGCCTGGGTTCTACTCCAGAGTTGGATTTATATGTTATTGGGTTCAGCTTGGGCATCAGATTTTTAAAAGCTCCCCCTGGTGATTCTAATGTGCAGCAAAATGTGAGAACCACTGCTATAAACCAACTAGAATACTTTTTCCCACAAGTCCCTCCACATGCAGAGTTTGGGAGACTTGTCTGTCCTTATCTGTCCTCACTATGGTTGATACCCATGTCGGGAGCTACTCTATCTGAGGAGAGCGCCTAGGACGGGGATGCATTCTTGGTATGGGCTCCGAGTTTGTTGACTGCATCAGAATATAGAAAGATGCTTTTTCTATTTACATGCTCTGGCAAGTAGGGAGAGGTGATTTACTTTCTATTGTAAACATGGGTCCAGCGCATTTTTATTCACTGCAAACCTTTGCCAGCTTCTTCCAAGGACAATCCTATATAAAGCGTTTAGAGATATTTGAACCACAGGCACAAAAGTTGAAAAAAAAAAAAAGAGGAGGAGAGATAACAGAAAAGAGGAAAGGGAGAGAGTAAAGGCGGGCATAAGAGAGGAAAAAAGAGAGAAAAGGAGGAGAAAGGGATGGAAGAAGAATGGGAAAGAAATGAGAAAAAAATAAAGGATATAGGATACTGAAAAAATTGTTAGTGTGTATTTACTAACTAACCTCTCTACGAGAGGTGACACAAATATCAACAAATGTATCGTCTCATTAGGAGACAGGAATCAAGTGCTTGAGAAGTGATATAAAACTATGGAATAGTCAAAGAATAAAGGGAAATAATATCAGTGATAGCACAGGACATATAGACAGGCCTATCAACTGATGGAGGGTGATGGGCAATAGATAGGATGCACTCTATTTTTATGGGGGGAAATAATCCTGTTGTAATCAATTCCTCATTCTTTGCTTTATCAACTTAATATTAAGCATATGGGTAACATCTGAAGAAATAGCATTTGACCTATTTTGTATCAGGGAGTCTTTCACGGAATTACTTAACTATTTATTTTATAGTTATTTCCTCTACCCTGGGCCACCCAGGATGTTGCTTATGAATATTTACTTTGAGGAAAAAAAATAATTCTCAAAATGTACTTAAAGATACCCTTTGAGAGTCTCATCCCCATGCCCAACCGTGTAATGCACATCTAGAACTTTCTTATTGGGGTTGAGGTCTTGATACTAATGTTTTATGAGAACAAGTAATGGGAATTCAATCCATTCGAAGTGGTGAAGGGTTGGTATTTTGTTATCTTTTCTAAGAAACATTCTTAATTTGATGTGTTGAACTTTGGCAATACAAGTCCCTTAAGTGACATAAAAGAAGCCAGTCTTTAAAAGATGCTGACAGATGTTGTGATAGTTTTTTACTATGGGGCTGAGTTTCCTGCTCTGCTACATGTAATTAGGCATGCAGATAGGGCTTTACTCATTTTACTAGCCCACAGAGAGGGAGCTGGGGCAGAGGCCTCCAAGCTCTGCTTATTAAAAGGAAACACACTCTTTAACATGCAAATGTCTCCCTCTCTATAAAGAAATAAGAATTTGTGCTTTCACTTAGAAAATTCTGTGCAAAACTAAGTTTGTGGTACAGGAAACATAATTTCTCTTACTTTCAAGCAAACATAATGTATCCATTTCATAAGGAACTTGGACGGTAAAGACATTGTACATGTATAATAAAGATATTGCACATGTATGATTTAAGGACCTGCATTTTCAGTGTCCTAGCAATCTCATTAAACATAGAATGCATTGTCTTGCAGTCTGGCTCTCTGAATCTGCTCAACTTTCCTGTTTTACCTTTTTAAAACTTCGTTTTTCTTTGCTTAGTACTGTGGTGTCTTAAAATGCTAGTGTTGACAAACAATCAAATTGCCCGAGTTTTCCAGGTCAAGGTGGCATTTCTTTCTTTCAAACGCTTGAGGTTTTCTTTGCTGTGTTTAATTGGGAACTGTGTGTCTGGCTTATAACATCTGCAGAATACCCAGCCCCCTTCAACTTTAAAAACACAGTCTAAGATCAAAACTGGGGCCTCTGGGGGAGAGCACACTCTTTGGGTCTCTTTTCTTTGCAAGCCCCGTTCTAGGGCTGAGTCCCAAGGGTTGGCTCACGTGTGAGCCAGTGGCCACCTCCGCTGCACCCAGCAGGAAGTACAGGAAGCTACATTTCATGTGTGCTTGCCAGGTATTCTCTATTAGAAGCTCAAGCACTAGCAGAACAGAACAGTGAAATGTAAGGAAGCAACCAAAGAGGGCACATGAGGCCAAGGGGCCCAAATGAGAATAGGGCATATCATTTGAGGAAAAGACAATGTGAGAAATACAGAACAACACATGGAACTGGGCTCTAACAATAGGAACTCACAGGACCCAAACAAGAACTGGGCAAAGGGGCTGAAATTTGCAGGCACGTATATAGCTCTATAAGTGGGAAGGAATCTACCTCCTAGATGAGTATGTAGGCCAGCCATGCCCTTTCTCGCTTTATCGAGGAGACAGTGTCCACTGCCCAAGACCAAAGAGTTGCCCTGAAGTAGAGCCAACACCACACTCACGCTTCCTGTGTGCCAGTCCAGTGGGCAATGCTCTAAGGCAATAGCATAGTGCAGAACAGATGGTATAATGGGGATAATGAGCATCCTAGCACCAAAGCCAATGCTGATATTTACTTTGGATACATGATTTTAACTTTCTGAAGTTTAATTCTCTAATCTATAAAATGGGAGGAATAATATCTCCACATAAGACCGGTGCACACAAGACACTTAAATATTAGCTCCTTCTTCTATACCTCATTGCATCTCCTCAAGCCCAAGTTTGTCAGATGATGACCCACACGTATGAAATTACCTTCTAATTCAGTACCTATTCTGTCCATCAGGATACAGACTGGTCCACATCCGACTGCAGTAACATTGCTCGTAACTGTTAATAGCATCTAGTGCTCCCTCCCACTGGGAAGAGTACATTTTACTTTGAAACTAAAATTTGACAGGTCTCTTCTAGGCAGGCCCTGCCAACACTTTGAAAATAAAACTCTTGAAGTTTCAACAGAAATATATTTTTACATGATAGGACGAAACCGACATGGATTGAAAGAGCTGCTTTAACAATAGGGCTGTTATGAATGCAGGCTCCACACTGTCTCCTGAAGGGATTAGACAGGCCTCATAATGTGTTAGAGGCAGAAAACAGTGACTCAAGTAGGGGCTAAATCCTTGGTTGTCATTCGTGTTTTCTCATGTCAACGCTTCGATTTGAGAAGACAGAGAAATTGACTTATTTTATATACTTGTCTGATCCTTTAGTACTTAATGAAAACTAGAATGTTTTATTTGATCCCTGTGGGAAAACAGCTAAACTGGGCAGTTTCTTCCTGAAATAAAATAACAGCAATCAAAATACTCTCAAAGTCCCTTAGAAATCAGAACATCACCGATTTATTAGAAAGTAGGTGTCTCAAGCTTATAGGTGGCTGTTAACATTATTTTATTTCCTTTACACAAAAAGTAGAAATGACAGGAAAACACTTGTGACAGAAAATACCACTGACCTGGTCTCACTGAGATGCTGAGCCCAAATTGCCCATATTATGGGGATAGGGAAGTTCAATCAACATTAGCAAACACTCATGCAACTGATGAAATACAAAATGGAGTCAGTGGCTTGGTGCGTGTCCTGTGAGTAGGTTGAATCAATCCAATCTTAAAAAAACATACATTTGCCCAATCATGCTTTTAAACAGCATCTCTTTAAAAACAAGTTATATATACAAATGTCACCCCAAAATGTGTTGTATAGTCTACTACTATAAATTTAAGGCATCCTGTATTCATTCTGTTCTTCTGCTGGTGAGGCATTGTTCTCATGGTTCTATTTCCACAGAGGATAGTCCAGACATTTCCAATGGTGTCCAAAGGGCAGTGATGAGAGATAATAAAAGAGTGATTTACAAGAAGAGTTCTTTTGACTCTGGCTCAGCAATGTGCTTTATGCTGTAGGGTTTCTTCATTTTTCTATTGATGTCATTATGCCTAAGCAGAAGGAAAACCACGAGGCCAAAATTAGATAAAACTATGGTCAAGTTACACGACAATATCACTAAACAACTCACCAAAAATGGAAATTATCCCCACAGAAACCACCCTTCATTCCAGTAGGCAAATTATTCTTTTCATATAAACCATTCTTTAAAAAATAAGAGCAAGAGTCATGTCATAACACACAGCGAGCATTTTTAAATTTGGCTCCGGAAGTAATTTATCAATCATTTATCAATCATTGATTGATTTGTCAATCAATCAAAATTCTATAGTCAGTGAATTTTATCACGAACAAAATAGACAGTACTGCTGGTTGAGTGGAAATGAGATATTTAGATGGATTCACTGGTGACAACTTTTATTCTCCAATAAGCTTGATTATTAATAGTTTAAGGGAGGTGCTTTTTCTTTGGGTGTGTGATTGCTGAGTAGTACCATGTTGGTAAATCTTTGGGGAAAAGAAGAAACTAGGGAACAATAATGCTTGTTTTTCCCTTAATACTCAATACCTAGTAAACCCGTGGAACCAGAAATTCAAGCTCAAACCTTGGAACAGTTATGCTTTTCAGTGAATTTTCCTCAACATAGATGCATTCATTTTCATGAGATATTAGTACCATTCTGGGTATAAAAGCTTCCAGAGAGGAGTTATCTCCTGAGGGTGGACAAGCCTACATATTACTAAATTTCCTTCTGGTGCCATCAGACAAAAGCAAACTTTCTGGAAATGGTATAATACATACTAACATGAGGACATATTCAGATGGAGAACCCCAAGTGTGGTTTTATGGCCTCAAAAGTGTGCTCACTTACAAATACCATGTAGTCTCTATTCAGTGTCCTAGTAAATATTTGATCATCGTCACAATCTGAAAGTTATAATTCTTATTTTTACCTCTTCCTCTGAATAGAACCTTAGAGAGTTGTCCATAGGCAAGAAAGGGAGAAGGTGAAAGAAAAACCTGGTTGGTTAAAAGGTGTTCTAGGAACTTCCAATTAAACCTGGTGGTTTAAATATACACACTTATCACCCCTTTCTTACAAAGCAACACTAACATGAAAAAGTAAAGACATAAACAAGGCATCAACCTAAATGAATAAGGGAAATGGGAGAGAAGATAACGACCAAATGCCAACAATATTTCAGAAGCGGGAAGGTGGATGGATGGACATATGTAGTATTTCTGCTTTAATATGAGGCGTGGTGCGGTCAAAAACATTAAAAAGAACACCATCTGCAGGACAAAATGCAGCATGATTAGAGCTGAATCTATACCAAGTAAAATGTTAATCTGAGCATTTATCTTAATAATATCAGGCTAATTCAAGCCTCCCTGCACCCTTCAATTACCAGTCCTGAATTACCAGTGTTCAAAAGAACAAAAGTATTTGGGTAATTATGGCATGAATTATTTGGATAATTTGCTGCTCCTTGATTTCACTTTTGGATATAAAATCACATTCTCAGCGACCAAAATTGGAAAGAAAAAAAGGCTCGAATTTAAATAAACAGTTTTTCAAGTATTCTAACTTGCTGACTCATCTAGACATGGATTCTGTATTTCCAGAGTCCAGAAAGCAACTTACTTCAGGATGAGTCTGACAGGGTCCAGGGGCAAGCATTATATTTCCACTGATAACCAAAATAAAGAGGCATTGATACTTGAGTGTTCTCCTTCAGAGCTTTCCTGAGACCATATCTATACATCCCATCTACTAAAAATATGGGATTCTGGTTCCAAGAATAAAAACCTGTACTCCAAGTACCCAAACTGAAACTGTCGGTAGGCGGACTTGTAATCAGAGGCCTAGATTTATACAGAGCACACCAGTCTTTCTGTGGAATGACAGCCTTAGTCCTTTTTGTTTTATCTTTTTCTCTCTTCCTCCTCCATTTCCTTTCTCTAGCTCTCTCTCTGTCCAAATATTTCTGAAGTCCCTACCATGTGTTAGGCACCACGTTAGATACCGGGGATACAAATGGTGCTATCCAGGGTCACTCCTCTCATGAAGTTCTTATGCCTTTCATGGAGTTTACCATGTTTTAACTGCTTTCTTTTTTAATTCTCTTGCTTCTGATCTTGCTGAATGAAGGGACCAGGCCTCACTCGGGCTCATCAAAATGCGTGACTTAGAGCTACAGATGTTGAAATGAGGACACTGGCAATCCAGGGATGTGGCATTCAGGAAGGTGACATATTTGCCCTGTTCTCACAGTGGGAAGGAAAACCCAGATGACTGTGGTTGGAATAGGGAATGCTTAGCGAAGGTGCTGGAAGGTATGTGGGTAAAATCTCTATCTGGTACTTTTAAACCTCAACAGCTTGCTGTTTCTTTAAAAACTCCAGCCTTAAGAGAGTGTATAAACTCTGCTCTTTTAGTAGAAAGACATCCGAGGGATGGCAGACGTGTGGTGCAGTTATGATATGAATAGAACATGCATCCCCCTCGAAATTCCACAATTCAAAACTGGACCGTGGGGGGAGTGAGGAAAGGGGGGACGAGGTAGGAGAAGGGAGTTGTTTTTAAGTTTTGTGACTACATTTAAACTAGATGAGCATGCTAAAAGAATGTATTTCTAGTGGGATGATTTTGGTTTTCAAGGTAGGTCTCTCCCCCCACTCCGTACCCCCTACCTACAGTTCATGGGTGTGCACATGTTCATTTTCTGCCTTCCAAAGCCAGGGCTTTAAGGCAGAACACAGGATCTTAGTTGTAATAGCTTGTTCTATGTCTCAGCTCATCACACTTTGATTCTACACTGTTTCACCATCTTCCTGTGGTGGAGCAGGCTTTCTCCTTTTCCTGGGGGTTGTAAGGAGCTTACGAAAAGAAATTCCGTTTATGAATCATGCTCTCATCAATCTTGGGTACTCTGGCAGCTGTTAGAAAGAGTGTGAAATTGTGGTTGTGCACTGGAAAGATCTGATCATTTTAACTATTTCCCATGACATGGATATTTTTCTCTACTATGCAACGGCCAATGACAACGTAAAATCGTGCCCCGTTTCAAAGGAGAGCCTATCACTTAATTACTGTAATCTGGAGAAATAGTTCAAGATCGGGGTTTCCTCTTTTCCTCCAAGTCATATGGACAAAGCTTCAGTAAGAAATACAGGTTTTCTCTTTGAAACTAATTTGAACCCTAGGGAGGCAGGGGTGAGGGTGGGAGAGACAAGAGTTGTGCAGGGAGCAAGGAAGACCTGGGGACACCGGGGGAGGGGTGGAAGGGAAGGAGACCACACAGGGGTTTCTGGAGCAGAGGTAACCACAAGTCCCTGGCATCAATACCTGCTGATTGACTGGCTCTGGTAATAGAATTAGAAATGACAACACAGAAAAACATACTTCAGATCAGAGCTCAGAATTGGCAAGTATAGTTTTTCAGTGGATCGTCTAATGTATACAGTGTTACTAAAGACCCTGTTAGTATCAGCACCTTAGTATACTTTTCTGAACTGTTACATCAGTAAGCTTCACTCTGCTCTAGGGGGTTCACTCTAGGACTATGCAATCAACACATACCCGGGAAGCTTGGAAACACACCTATGGCTGAATTATCTAATTATCCTGTCAAGAATCCTTAAAAAGTGTATGGGTAAAAAATAAATACTTTGAGGTAAAAAATTTAAGACAAGATTAAAATGTGTTTATTTTATCACATCCAGAGAAATTACGGCAAGGATGCATTTGTTGAGCAGGATCGGGGATTCCTGTCTGGGCTGACTGCATTTTCCCCTCATGATTCTGGAAATGCTGTTCGTGGGGCTGAGGGGACGCTCCGCCTGAGTCAGGTTTCAGCCAAGGCCTCACCTCTACTTTCTGAATGATTTCCACATCCTGGCTCATTTTTACGTTTAGTATGATGTCCTGACAATAAGGACCCAAGTGTGTGTGTCTGCTGGTGGGCTTGGGGGTACCCTGAACTCTGACCTCCTACTGGGCACAGCCAGTGACCATCGATCGTCACATGCTCACATCATCTCAGGCCAAACAAACACATCACTTTCTTTGAAGTGGATGTTGAACAACCTTGACATCTATGCAAAATATGTGGTACTAGCTCTTGGCTCCAGATGTATATAATTCCCAGTATGGCTAATTCCTTCACAGTAAAACCCACACTAATGGTGTTTATTGCTTAACGTTTTTTAAGGGATCTACTTTCATGTTGGTGCTTAGGACTAGGGGTTTCAAGATGCTCACCCCTCAGGCTATAGTGCCACTGTAGTCAGAGAGGGTGTGACTGGTGGTGGCCAGGGGTTCACGGCCTCTGCCTGTCCAGAACTGAAACCAATGCTCACTTTATTTGCTACAGAGCTCAGAGAGACTTAAACGCTGGGAAATGAATGTCCTATTGGCATTTTAAGACAAGTAATTGCAACCAGTCCCTTGGAGTTGTAATAACTCAAAACCAATTTGTCCTTTATAAGAAAAAGTAAAGATTAATCTGATTGTTATAAACAAAGTCATCCTCTGCAGTTAAAACACACTGGGAAAGCTGTTCAAAGTAATAGAGTTGAATCCAATTTTAAAGGGCATTGAAAAGAAATTTAGATTCTTTGCTATCAAGCTGGGACCAATTTAGAAAAAATAAATAGCAAACTGAACCCCCTCACAGAGCTGACATTGTATTTATTGCCCCTATTTTTCCTTGGCCTGGAAAGATAAAATTTTCTTAGGAGATCAAATATGATTCCAGTGTATGCCTGAAACTAGGGTCCACTGCCTCCTTCTGTCTCCCAGGGCTCTCCTGATAAGGCTACTTAGTGGCATAATGTTTGGAGCCAGCTCTAGCCCAACATGGCTGTTGGTACCCATATGCCGTCCCGGGTCATCCCTGCTACTCGAGAGGAGCCTTTGGGTCTTAAAGCAAATTCTTGGTCCAAGATTTGAAGGCATCACTGATAGAAGAACACTTGGGTTCCTTTCTTTCTTGCATCTTTCTATGGGATGCTTTTTCTATAGGTCCCATGGACAAAATGAAGCAGGCACAAGAGTCAGTTAGGTGTTTTTCATGCCCACTCTCCCATGCTATTTTCAATTTCTCTAAAGAGTCCTTATTTCAACTAGAGATATTCATCCTTACTTTATCTAAGGGGTGAGTGAACTGGGCTGGTTCTCTCTGCCTCTGTGTGATTATGAGTGAATCAGAAAAGAAAGCCTCCCCTCTCTAGCATGAACAAGCTAGTGGGTTTTCCCTTTCTATGCAACACATACCCAACTAATGCCATGATAAAGCTCAGGTAATTTATAAGGGAGGCAGGGGAAGTGGTCAGGATGCTTATTTAAACGAACGAACATTTTTAGTTCGGGGTTTCTGTTTGTCACTGAAAGAAAACTCTGTTAACCCGTGACTCTGAAGGTTCAAAACCGAGCATTTAGAAGAACTGCTCCTTAAACTGAGTAGGACAGTGTCAACCTTGTGTCAGGTATCCGAGTGGCCCCAAACTCCATTTTGTGCTCTGACTCTTGTAATCCTATTATAGGAGGTCGTTCAGCCTTGTTCCCTTGCTTGTAACGAGACAGGATGAGATATTTCTGGCAGGAGGATCTACGATGATACTAACTTGTCTTGTAGGAGCTGGAAGAAATGAGAGGTCCGTCCCCCTCCCAAAGAGTTTGCTAAGTCATTGTGCTTCCATCCCACGGGTGACTTCTGCTGAAGACAACAGCGGAATTTTCCAGGCACCAGAAGACACACCAACATAACGTGGGGACAGAGAAGGGTACTGGGGTGGCGAAGGTAGGTTGGGAGAAACAGAAATGGGCCAATACTAATGTCTGGGAAGGTAATGGGTGTTTTCTTCTGTCTCCTTCCCACCCCAGACACTGGGGCTCTCAGGACAGCTTGATTCTCTGCTCTAGTGGGACAGGAAGCAGCACAGGTTTAGGCAACACGTGAGCCTGACAAAGCAGGATGCTGGTGACCAGTAAATACCAAACCTCCAGGCTACTTCCTTCAATGCACTGAATTAATGAGACCCCTAGGGGTACCCCCTAAAATGACTGAGATTTCCTTTTCCTCTAGCCTGAATAGAGACCTGGAGCAGAACAAATTCACAATTTAGAGGGGGAAAAAAAAGAAGTGATGTTTCTCACACCTTAGTCTTCAGAACTAAAATTCATATCCACAACATATACACTCATATGTGTGCGAGTATAATGATATATACACACATATACACACTCACACAAACATTTTGGAGGATTTTGGAAGAGTGCTGGAAGGCGTGTCATATTTTCATTTTAAATGATTTGTTTAAATTTAATTTAAATACACTTATTTTATATACTTAAACTTAATTTACATGACTCATTTTAATCGAACTGAATTTAAATGAAAAGTGGTCGTGTCCTTTCAAAATGGATTTGGTGTTTAACTCTTCTGAAATAAACCAGGAAGGGGCGAAGACTGCATTCGCTTCCCCTCCCCTACTTCCTGCCCTGTCAGGGAGTGGTGCATACAGAGGGCTCCAAAAAATGTACATACATTTTAACAAAGGAAAAAACTGTATTAAAATTGTAATACTCAACATAGGCGATAACAAAAGAGGAATACAAGTCATGTGTATATGCTTTTTTGGCAGCCTCGGTATTTCCCCAGTGGGCTGAAAGAGAGCTGTGCTACAGAAGGACTTTGCCCAAGGAGGTACCTGAACCACCTGTGACCTCCAAGATGATCCTTTTATGTACACAGTCCATGCATTTTAAATTGTAAATATTTTATTTGAGAAAAACCCTTGTTTTGTTGGGGGTAGGGGCGGGCTCAGGAACTGGCTTATTGACTGGCATTGTGGTTCCAAATGCTAAGCTGGAGCAATTTCAGAATGGCAGGGCCTGGCTTCTCCCGAGGGCAGCAGGATGGTGACGAAAGGAGCTTTCAGTCTCCGATCAACAATGAAATACAACCTCCGCTCTGCTTCAAGGTTCTGATTCTGATTGGAGGTTGACTCATTCCACCCATGACAGGAAATTTAATTTTTATACTTACTTGGTACTTGACTCCATTAAAACAAAGACTGAAAGCCAAAGTCAACTGGGAAACAGCATGTTTGTGAGCTGCCGTAGACTCCTCGGCCCTCTGCTGCTGGAATAAAGCCCCTCCTCTAAGGCACTTGCTCCCTTTCTGAGGTCCAGTTACAAGTCTGCCTGCTTCTATTGGGGGAAAGCGCTGTAAGCGTCTTCTTCCTTGGAGTCAGCCCTTGTTCAAGGTGCTCCAGGAACATGATTTAAAAGAACATGCAATTCAAAGCGAAGGCATGGCGCGGTTGCACGATGCTTCCCTACACCACGTACCGTGCGTAGTTACGCAGGTGCTCTTCAATCAGCGCGTTAGAGGAAAGGTTGATGCAGCTGCTGGACATCGCCTAGAGAGGTGCAATTAAAAATCATCTGAAAACATGCAGCAAGCTCAGCACATGCACAAGTCTCAACAATCAGGAGGCATGCAGGAGAGAGATTAGACTAGGACGGAAGCTTCAGAGGAACACGGGGAACTGTTGCGATAAGCCTTTTACCCCTGAGCAAGAGAACCCATTAAGTTTCTTGGAAAAGCTTGATCGAGCAATGTACGTTTGGACATATTGAACCCCAAGGATCTGGTGTTTGGCGCACAAGTGGGACTTTTCTAGCCGAAATAAACACACGCTAAAATAAAGTCCTTTATTACAAAGACAATTCACGGTGGAAATCAATTGGGGTTCAATTAATGAGAGAGATACTAACTAAAACTTGAGAGAATTAGAGAGTTCTTAGACCTCCCTGAGATTTTACTTTTTAGCAAATAATAAATTATGCAGGTTGTGACTCTCTAGATTGCATGATGGTTACTCAGGGTCCTTCCATTGCTCAGAGTTTTGCATTTTGGCTGCTATACCATTTTTTTTTTTTGATGGCATGGCTTGCACAGAGCATGTAGAAAACATTGCCTAAAAAGAGGTTTGTATCTCTTATTCTCTGAATTTAAACCACAGATTATAGTGCATGGTTTTCCAATAAAGGCAATTATAGAATGAAGTTGGTGGCACATGCTGCCATCCCCTGTGTACTGGCAAGCACTTCAGACTGCGGCTAGAACTTTCTGATCAAAACTTAGGGGCCTGCATCAGAAAATGCCACTGTGGAGGTCCCTGTGGTGTATGCATTTCAAAGGTCATCTCAACGTTGAGTAGTTAAGACTTTAGAAATGGAGTTTCTATTTATGTGCTCTTTAATTGGGCTTGAGAATAAACTATCCAGTCACACGAGGAGAACAAAGTCTTCTTGGGGCAGAATCCACGCCAAATTAGGGCCTGACTTCACATCGATTGGTGGTCTAATCCTGTAGAAATGCTTCCCAGCCTAAGACTCCTAATACTCAAGGATCAAACTATTTAGGGAAATTTAGGGACTACAGTATAATTTCCTGTGGTTTAATATTTCTCTCAGAGTATTTTTCCAAATGAAGAGCAAAGGGTATGTACTGGAATTTGAATTTGGCTGTCCATGCATCCCTTTGGAATTTTTCTGAGGGTTACCTCAAGGTGGCAAAGGTCAACACTCTGTAGTGTCTGTCAGAAAGGACATAATTAATTCAAAGGAAAAAAAAAAGAGATATTCTCCAGATAGCACTCACCGCCTTGTTCTTTCCTTTGTTAGCAGAGCTCACAGGATTTCCCTTGGTGTCTGTTGTCTTCCTGCTGAGTGAGGTTAAGGGCAGTGTGGAGGTCCTCAGCTGGGTGATTGCCTGATAGTTGTTATTATTGTTCTGGTTGCCACTTAGCGTCTCCATGATGGATCGGAAGGTTCCGAAAGGCCTTTTGAGTTGATCCCCTGATTCGCTACTCGTGGATGTCCGCTGGAGGGTCCTGCCCTTATCTCTGTCCTTCTCTCCATTTAGTTCAAGGTTTGATTGCTCCATCTGCACCACGGGCTCCTCAAAGGTAACTCTGAGTTTCAAGTTCTGAGATGTCCGGCGCTTGGAAGAGGGAGACTTGAGGGCACTCTTGGGGCTTGTGGCCACTTTCTGGGCAGCAGTGCTGTCAGGGTTCGGTTGAGAGGGGTCTCCAGGGGACTGGTTTGGGGGAGTAGTCCCTGAGCCTGGACACTGAGATTCCAAGTCTGGTTCACTGCTCTCTGAGGTGGGAGATGGGCTATGACCATCCAGAGACTTGGAGGCCTTGATACTAAAAGGAAACCTACGTCCTGATGCCAAGGTGTGTTTCTTTATCATCAAGTGTAAGCTTTCTGCACTGTCCATGGTCTCCACACTTTCCACGATGGGCTGCGGTCTGGGTCTGTCGGCCTTTCTCACGGGCGTGCTCTTGGGGTCCTCGGAGTTGTTGGAGTCTGTATCGGACTCACTCAGGGACCGCTGCATCAGTTGCCTCAGCCTGGCTAACTTCAGTTCCCTCTTCTCCAGGGGGATCTTTTTGGAATTTCTAGAGGAAGTCTGAGCATCCTGGAATTCCAAGGACAGCTTTTCCTGGGTGCAGACATTCTCTGAGATATCTTTTCCCAATAACTGACGCAGGATTTTATCAGAATCTTCATCTTTTGCTTTTGCCCTAGCCCGGCTGGATGCTGACAGGCTTCCAAGAACCTGCATCCCCTCTTGGGCTCCTGGTTTGCTTTTGGCTACAGACTCATCATCTGTATCTGGGGATTTCCACTGGGACTTCCTGGAAGCTGGGGAGGATGGTGAACTGAAAACAGGATGAAGGACATATGAGATAATTTCCTACTGGGTCAAAACGACTTGGCTACAAGTCACAGGGTGGCTTTTACTGCCACTAATACCTTACAAATCAGTAAGATTGGAATAAGAACAATCACTTAATGTCTGTTCAAAGTAATTCACAAATACTCCATAGTGGCATCTATAACCATAGTATAATATGCCCCATACCTTATGCTACGACGAAATTTGTCTGTTTTACTACTTA